AAGAAAACTAGGTCTGTATTGTCCGCTGATATTTCTGCGCGTAGGATGTCTAGTTTAAATCATTACCTTAATCGTTTTTACCTGTCATAGTTCTCTTTTATACTTTATTTAAACATTAAAATTTCTCGGCTTTCAGCTCAGCACTATATAAAATTCAACAGATTTAGCATTTGAAAATGAAAATTCGTTTCGATTCTGCGTCTTGCAGTTACTAAATGTGTTGACCTGCTGACTCGGTGGTTTTGAGTGCGAGGCAACGGCTGATGTTAAATACTTATTAAGTATGTTTTACCCGTTTGCGCAACTTGAAACTTGATTTGAGGAAGGCCATTTTATGTGGCAGAAATTTTTGCAACAAATTAATGCACCTGCTTAACGTCAATCTTTTGCTGACGTCCAAAACTGCCGAATCAGAAAACCAACAATTTTGTATTTTGCTAATTTTCATTGATCGCTTTTCTTCCATTAAGCTGGTCTGCACAGTTGATGATTGTTTGCTTATTAGTTACATGGTTTTTCATAAATTCCATCTAAACGCATTCATTTTGCCTAACACATCTAAGACTGGCTATTTTTGTTTCAGCATACAGGATACGTGTCTTTTAATGTCACTGCTGCTAATGTTTTTGAACTTTTTCACAACCTACGTGTACCAAGCTGGATTGATATCACTGCTGATTGCGAGATTCCGAGTGAGCATTATAATCACCTTCCTTTATATCGCAGTCACCGTCGCCTTTCACACATACACTTTGGTAGGTCGATGTTTGCAACAACAATGGGCTAAGCAATTATTTTAGACGTGCAACTGGCAAAAGAAGGAATCATATATGAAAAACACCGTTATCATCGCTTTGTACGTCGTTCAAAGAACAGGTGCAGTTCAAAACTTCTGACGAGTTTTACTTGCTTCGACTTTTTAGGTTCCCTATTTTATTATTACTTTTATAAGCGTGCCGCCATGTTGCTAACCGATCCAAAATACGAGGGCAATTCAGCATGGCTGATGCGCGAAATTCAGAAGAGATTCCGTACTCCATAGTTATCTGCTTCATTTCACTCAATGTACGTTGGATTGCACTGATATGGAATGAAAAATATCTTCAAACAGAGATCGTCTGTTGAACAAGAACAATAAAAGAAACAAAGTTTATTATGATCGTTTGACTGTTCCGAAATCTACGTTGTGATAATTGTAATGCTGCGGCTTCGTCTGCTGGCTGCTTTGTTCAAAAATATACTGTCAACTGTTCCGATACACATAATACGATTAAAATCTTAAAATAAATAAAAATTTGCGCGAATCAATTTGCTCCTTTAGTTGATCCGGGCCATCATGGTTACGTGAACAATCCTTGGCGTTACATCATTTCGAAGATAACGCGTTTCTGATCTAAATATTGCTGGTTCGGTCTGGCACGAGAAAATCTGGAGTACAACAATCCTAGATACCCTCGCTCGCGAGCCGCTCTCTCTTGAAATCCACAACTCACGGTTGAGATTGTTTGTAACATGTGATCATGATTCAACAGGCGAGACCTACATTTTGATTCACTTTGCAGATTCACATGGAAAACGACCTGGGGACAGATCGTGGGCAACGTGGCTCGATTATATTAAGTATCTGACTTCGCCGCGCTTTGGAAACTAGACTCTGAAACTTATTCGACTGTCAGAGAATCGGAGCCATCGGCTAGACCACCGGAGCACTCTGGACCGTCGGCTAAACTTATAGCAGTCTTTAGGTGATTATCAACAGCCCTCAACCTTTTTATTCCCCGTGCAAGCTATCACATTTGGAATCTTAGGATGCAGCAAAGAGTGATGGGCAAAGAAAAAATGCAGACCCAACCTGTGAACAACCGTCTTGCCCGTGAATCACCGTGGTTGAGGTGTTCAGACAATTCTGGCATATTTGTCGCAATGATTTGGAAATGCAAACGTACTTCGCTCCATGCGATGTGCAAGGAGAAGATTTCATGATTGCTTTGCTCATTTTTATCGCTTGCAATTAATATGCGGCGAACCGCAGCAACGAGCATTCAGTCTTTCATTCAGCAAAAGTTTTAGACATTGACGAAGTTATATTCGAAAACTTTACATCACCGTTGGAAACAGTGATGTGCGATGAGGCATGGCGATTGGTTAGTCGGTCGGCGGTCGTTTATTTCCTTTACAATCAACAGGGAAATACCACGTGAAATTTGCATAAATAGTTGCTTGAACTGACAAAGGTGTCAGTAAAATTACATCTTACTTCAGGAAGGAGCAAAGGTAACGAAAATATTGTCTGCTAAATTGATTGAAAATCCATACTTGGATTACTGCACATCTATTTAGAGGCGCAAATCCTGGTTAACAAGAGAAGTGAAATAGTCCTTCCACTTAACCAGTTGTTCAGATGTCCATTTGAACAGTGCGACCCGTTTTCTCCATGAGTTGAGACCAGTTTGATCTGCTCAAGAGTCGGGTTCACAACATCACCCATCAGTGTACCAGCTTCATCCGTTCGCTGGCATCCTAAAGCCGCTTGTACAATAAGGACGAGACTGAAAAGAAGCGAACTCAGTCATGGAATATGATAGGCCCAATGTGATAGGCTACCGGAAAAAAAAAACTATCTGCACATAGCATCCCTTTGGTTCACCGGTTCATGATCATGAGGAAACCGTCTGCCAACTCTATAGCCCTTTGAGGATGATGAGCGGGATCAACGGGTAATCCCCATGTACTGTGCATGTTAACTAGTCCGGCAGTTAGTTCAGATAACCGCTCATTCTTTTGGGTCACGGAGGCAGGCACTTCAGTCGGTGTCTCAAACGTTTCCGGTTCTGTGGAGGCGTTTGAACTTCAGCAGAAAGTAACCCTAATCCGGAGCAGAGTCCTCCATACACTTGCCAGCAGTTTTGGGCCGCTCCCTGGGTCTTCAGCAGGCAGACTGGGCAAGTAACATTTGATTCGCCCTCCTTAATGAAAGCATCGCAAGATGTGTCACATGTGTGACTTCTCAAATTGCAAAAGCAGCGATTGTACCTCAAGGATCTCTCGGATGTCTGATCTCCGGACCATGTCGAGACGCGTGAGCCCAGCGATTCGTCTCAAAGAGCCAATTTCATCTGCTTTTACCAGGGATCGAAGTTTTACAGTCATTGAACAAGACTCATGACAGTAGTTGAGCATCGGGATGATGATCGACTTGAATACGGAGAGCTTAATCTTCAGAAGCAGATCTGATTTAGTAACAACCGTTTGGAATAATTTATACAGAACGCGACTGGTATTTCCAAATCGCCCATCAATCTCCTCCCATTTTCTATCACCGGTAAACACGCGAGGAACGTCAACTTCTGCATTTATTCCATTACTTCTCAGTTTATTTGCAAAGCGCAGCAGGCAGGGAAACGAGAGAGAATTAGCCTTTTGTTTTAAGCACGTTCACGTTTACATGCATACCGGCTACGTGGCCTGCGAACCTTTTTAGGGAGCACTGCAGATCAGTTTCAGAAGATGCCAATAAAACAAGGTCATCTGCAAACAGCAGATTTTTATCTCCACATCTCTTGCATCAATACACTCATTGCCTTGGCTGCGTCTGACTATTCTATCTATGTACAACACAAACAGGATAGGGGACAGGACGCACCCTTGGCGGATACCAGTGCCAACGATGAAAGGCTTCGACTTAACGCCATTTACTCTGACGCAGCAACCTGTTCTCAACATTGACTAGATGGTTCACACTGGTCATCACTCTCATATACTTGCAGACACCTCGTAGCAGGCTTTCACTAGGTCCACACGGCACATGTGAAGCGGATGAGCAAACTCGCACAATTTCTTGACGTCTGGAGTAAAGCGAAGATCTGGTGAGAAGTGTTTCTTGCTGGCTTTCTCGCATCTCTTCTTTTATCTTTGAGTCAGTTACTCCACGGCACCTACTCTCTAATTCTTTTGCTAGAGGCTTACTAACCCCAACAACTGGAGTACTCCCATGGTCTCCATTCTTGAACAGGTGCACTACAATTCCCGCTCTCCAGCCAATTGTGACTCCTCGCAGCCATTATAGTTTGATAGCCGACGCGTGTTAGCCACAATATACCTTGTTCACCTAGAGGATGAAGAATTTCCAGGCGGATTTCATCGATTCAAGCGGACTTTCTACTTTTCAAGCTTTGAACTGCTTCCCTTTATCAGTTTCCTGCAATTCATCAGTCAAGTCTGGCTACGGTTGCTCGGGGTTAAGTAGTGACTTGAAGTACTGTCTCAATTTCAGAGCTGTCCTCTTCCTCGTTAAAAGGGGGCCAGTAGTTGTCCCTCAGAGCTCTCGGACTGTCTTTCGTTGCATTTCAGAGGGGGCGGATAGTCTGCCAGAATACCATGTTTGCAGTCTGGAAATTCGACTCCAGCATACCACCGAACTTTAACCAGGAACTAGATTTCACTCTAGCCATTGCCTTCGCTGCCGTTTGAGCACTTCTTCATAAGCATTCGAGTGAAGGTTCTTTGCTTTCAACCCAGCAATGGAATGCAATTTTCTTTTCCCTGACAGCAAGCTGAATCCACCGTATCCAAACGGAAGTTTGCTTCTGGCGCTCCACATCGAAGGTCACCACTGGGGTCTGTTCAAACCATCATGCGATGGTGCTTGCAAGTTTTGCCTTCATATCCACAGAAGATAGTTTCGGATTTGATTGTCTAATTGATTCTGCCATTAGCACTTCGCAGGTACTCACTCCAGCGTTTACGTCGGAGGGTGATAACAGCACGATTATGATCGGTTGACGTGTCAGTTCCTCTCTTAACGAGAATTTCCGATACGGCGTATGCGGTAACTCACAATTATCAAATGGATGATCGATTTCTGCACGCAAGCTTCTGTATACCAGATATACTGAAGCACGTTTCGATGCTCGGAAAGGGAATTCATATGAGTCATTTAACTGTTTGCACAAACCGCAAGCAAGTTACTGTCGTTATTTTTAAGGTAGCCTGGGCCGTGTTTTTCCTATCTCGCCTTTCCACGTCTGCTCTGACATGCGCATTGAAATTGTCCATTCCGTTTCCGTAGTCGGCACTTCGCACAGAGCACCTTCTACGTCTTCCAGGGGAAAAATTCAACGTTCTTCCTCCAGATTGGGCGCCTACAGGAAGCTGTAGCAAGATGCAAGTTCAGAGCCTTAGTCTGTTGTAACTTCAAATGGATAACTGCCCTTATTCCGTTGGCAGATTTTCATTCAAAGATTCGGTTAGCCAGGCTGGCTTCTGCCAGAGCACCAGAACACCAGCCTGAGCGCGTGTCGTAAGGTCTCCACCTCAATGGAATAGCATCCAGTCGCAGAGATTCAGAATTCAACAGCCCTGGCGCTCCTCTGACTAGAATTCAATTATATCTAGCCGGTAATTTGCAGCATCATCAACTAGCTCATGCTCTCTATTTGCCAGAGGAGATGTTTCAATTTCCGACTATGAGCTGTCACTGTCGGCATCAGTCGTGTTGAACCTCAAGTGATGTGCATTAACGACATCGTGCTATCCGGCGCTTTTGTTCAGAAGGAATCCTGGCTCAGGTGCTGACTTGTATCTTGGTCGTCTTTTGTCGAACTTCGGCAGCCATCGCCATGCTGCAACGCCCCCAGTGGTCAAAAGGCGTGAAGCAGTTTATGATCACCGACTTTTCTCAGTACTGCTCAGTTCTTCAACAACCTGCACGACCCTAGATACCCCGAAACATGACCGGGTCGTCCATAGCACCGGGAACATGGCAAACACGAATACCAAACCTCGCCACGTTTCTGACCCTCTTCTTTTCTAACCTGGGCTGGTAACCGGCAACGGCCGAATTACAATATTGCCAACAAGACCATATTTGTGCGTGTGTCGGATTATTACTGAAGTAAACCGATGACTGTAGATCTTTAGTGTTGCATTACACCGACGTTGCATCGCTCCGATCTACCACTATGGCGTTCTTATTTTTCCAAAACAGATTATTACTCACAGGTATGGAGACGAAGCGATTATA